GGCCTAGCCCCAAGATAGTTCCTATGCTCCAGATTTTATAGTGTGTTGTGTTATGTAGACTCAGACATAGTCTGTTTCTGATCTTGACTTGGTCTAGTCCTGCCTTGGTCTTGGTCTTGTTTTGGTCTCGCCTTGGCTTTGTACTTGGTGTTGTCACGGTCTCAATACACTCTGGTCTTGGTAATGACTTGGTCTTGGTTTAGGTGGTCCTAACTACATTACTAGTTATTGTAACCGCAATATAGTGGATGCAATTTATGTCATCAAGAGAGTAACACACAAAACTTTGATGTTATTCAAATAGACAAAAAATATATTTTTTGAAATTTCGCCTATCAGTAGTTACCTTGTTTTTTAAAGCTGCAGCTTACAGTGTGTATTTTGGATTAATTTTTCAATGTGATTGAACAAAAAAGCATTATCTCTGTGAATAATACTGCAAATAATACTTTCATGCTGTGTCAGAAGATGTAAAACTACATTGAAAAGAACCTGATCTACAATGAATATTCCTGATGCCCATGTATTCATGTGTGCATTTCTGCAGTTATTCCCTAGCTTTGATGTGATTTGTATAGCCTTTTATGCATTTATGTAGTGTAATGAGAAGTTACTGCAAACTAAAAGTTGGTTTAGGTGTTTGTTGAGCAGGGCTGTGAGGAGAAAATTGGAGTAGTTCATTCTCAAATGATATCTTGTTTCTTTAAGATTATTATTTGAATATATTACATAATGACATGGGGAAAAAGCAAATTCCAAAACATTCAGAGACACCCTGATTGGCTGCTGGTGGGTTGACCAGGAGTAGGACTGACAAACTGTCCTCGGTTCAAGGCTTACTGGGGATGAAGAGGAAACACACATTTATATCTATAAGCCAGGAAACAAGTAACCAATGGAAGGAAAATGAACCCCTGAACTAACCTTATAGAGCGACCCTCCCCACCCATCCTTGCTGTATTTTTCCTGCTGTTATTTTAAAATGCATTCTCTGAATGATTTTTCTAGATAATTCATTAATTGGTCTGGGCATGTAATAAATGTTTCAGTGGCTAAAGGTCAACTACCATGGCAGCAAAACATCAAACTTCTCTGTAATAATGAGGGCAATAGAAATGGCAGAAGCCTGCAAGAGCAAAGTAATTACAGGAAGGGCCGTCCAGCGGTCTGCTCTTCTCCGTTTTCACTCTGACAAACCTTTCGCAGTCAGGTGCAGAGCTGCGGGGGGGAGCCATGCCTGCCCCAGCCCCCCCACCCACATTACCCTCCTTTCTACCCTGGACCTGTAAGCTGAATGTGGATAATGCAGTCTTTCCCAACCCGGTCCTCGGGAACCCCAAACGGTTCACATTCTTGGTCCCTCACAGCTTCCTGCCAGACAGTCCACACTTTTGTTGGGAGGATGCAAAAACATGGACCGTTTGGGGGTCCCCAAGGACTGGCTTGAGAAACACTGGGATAGATGGTTGTGACTCCGATCACGGGCTGCTGGATTAAGCAAACAGGGGATTTTTTAGATGCCCCCCTTGGCTTGGTTTTGGCCACCTGCTGGCCCTGATCTTGACTCAGCAGCAGGAATCTGACCTCCATCACGACATCTCAGAGCAGCAACATGGAATACAAACACGCTTTTCACAGATCTGTCGTAATGATGGAAAAAAGTAAAGAAAGCTCTGGGAGGCAGATCAAAGTCAGGCCAGAGAAAGTGATTTTCAAATGAAAAAAAAAACTGCCTGTCTGAACCTCAGCCTGAACCTCAAGACTGATTTACACATAACCCAAGAACGACTGAAAGATAAATAAAAGCTCTCTCTCAGTTCTTATGTCATGTTCTTTGTTTAATTTGTTCAGAAAGACCATAGCTTACCCAGACAAACAGGGAGGTTTTTCTGAGCCTGTCTTCCCGACGTTACCGCTGCTGTCACTGACTTCCAGGACGTCCCCCAGGAGACCTGGCAGCTGCAAGTGTCTCCTGGGCTGATCCCTTATTCAGTCTCTGTAAAAAAGACTTACGTAGGGCACTGGGATTCTGACACTTCCCAAAATAGCTACGCCAACAAAACTTAAAAAATTAAACCCAATGAAGTATTTACGTATGTTATATATTTTAGGGTCATGGGGAGGACAAACCAACTGCAGTCAGAGCTTACCAACCCATTAATACACTATGAGTTTTATTCATTTTTCATAACTGTTTTCCCTAAGGCTGTTAGGATGGTTTACACCTAGGTACCCGCTCTGCTCCCCCCCTTCGCTGAGAGTGTGTGCCCACACCACCTCCCTACTGGCACTGCTCACTTTCATTTATTATTATTTATCTATTTATTTATTGTCAGTCATCTGATACTATATTTGTACCAGCCTTCCTGCTGCTGTGTTATTTATGGTTGGTTGCCTTCACATTGAATATATATATATGAACCCTGGTCTCCAGCCCCCTGTGTCCAGCCCCCCTGTGTCGCACCTTCCTGTGTTTTGCACTTTAAGTCCTGTGGAAACCACCCCCCTGCCCCCCCACCGTCACTTGCTGTTTGCATGTCACACTGTGGTTTTGGGTGAGCGTTAACTCATGTCGCTGTATCCATGTATATGGATGATATGACAATAGAGCCTTGACTTGACTTGACTTTTAGCAGTATGGTGATCTGGACTCCCTGTAGACCCTGTGCATTACACAAATTACTTGCTAACTCATTCTTGTAATGGTTAAAGCAGGGGTCTCCAACTCCGGTCCTGGAGAGCTACTATCCAGTAGGTTTTCTATCCTACCTGGCTTCTGATGAGCCACACCTGTTCTCAGGTAAATACCAGGAGCAGGTGTGGCTCATCAGAAGCCAAGTAGGATAGAAAACCTACTGGATAGTAGCTCTCCAGGACCGGAGCTGGAGACCCCTGGGTTAAAGGAATCATCCCTAACCATGGCTGACATGACTGCGGTGCCTCACCTGCAGGTCTCCCAGCTGCTTCCTGATGGTGGCCGCGAGGGGGTGACAGAAGCGATGAACTGCTGCAACGCAGACCGACCATCAGCCTACAGCTACCCGGCCCCACATACCCCCCAGGTCACCACAGCGCCCTCTAGTGGCACCTCTGCAGCTGCCTCCTTTTTTGCCAGGTCAGACAAAGAAATTTCTGTTCAGTTATTGAATAAATGTCCTCTAATTTCTGTTTTAAAGTAAGAATCTGAATTATTCCATCTGGGAGCATTAACTGCCTATGTCAGTTATTGACATGAATAGTTGAATAGCTGTCCTACTTAGAGTAAAACGATCACTTGATGGACGTGTAATTGCCCTGACAAGTCTGCTGAATACCGATAAACCTTGATGTGCCAATATAGTGATTCTATGCAACTGCACAGTATTTACACCACTTTCCTGGGGTAGCATGTGTCAGACATGTCTTAGGTCATACACCGTGATTCCCCCTCTCTAGAAACACTGGCAGTTTACAGAATAGCGTCATTTTCTCATAGGGACTAGTAGGAAAAACAAACCTCACCTTTCCACATCGCACTCATTAGATTATGCATCCAGCTGTTTCATGTTTTAGTGGGGAGTCTAGTCATCTGGTACCTATCACTCCAGAAGCGTCCAGTGTGGTCCAGGGTGTACTGTGAGACAGGCAGCACTAGCACTGCATGCCCCATACCGTGTCACTGCCGAGGCAGTGAGGCAGCCGGCATAAAGGTGGTCGAGGTGCTGAGTTTCCTTCACTTATGAGCACAGTACTGACTTATGAAACAGTGGATACGTCATCACTTTGGAGGTACATGCTCCTCAATTAACTAATTAAATATTAATGAAATAAATATTACAGCTTATTGTGAAATTCAGAATAATCAGTAATAATATGGCGTTACCTTTAAGCGATGTTCAAGTTTTCATTATTGAACAGATGTTCATTTTGTTGTCTATAAGATACTTTAAGGTCTTCGTTGTCTTAAAGAAGTTTTATAGTCTTGTTTACAGCTTTAATGGTTTTTGTTTATGGCGGTGTTCCTCTTTGTATGGGGCGCTAGGGTTCTAAGGTCACAGTGTGTCTGGAGCAGGTGTCTGGGCCACACTGAAGGGCCCCTAACGACCTGTCACAGGTCAGAGCTGTTTATTGCCCCCTATCCTCACCGTGACCTCGGAAGCTCTCACACTGATCCGGTTACTGCGCCGTAGTGCTATACACAGCCAAAAGGTGAAAAATCAGACAGCCATGAATCACAAGGTTTTACCTGTTATTCATGGAGAAGGAAACGACTGACAAAGCAGCAGATAAAGAAAGACAGCTGACCTAAGAAAGATCTAATGGAAAACTCCAATGCAGCTGGTCAGCAAAAACACTCATAAACACACAGAAAATAACTGATGTCAGCTTATGTACAATTTACCAGAATGATTTCTAGTGTTTAGAGCTCTATATGCATGGTGATATTAATGCATCCTCTATACAGTGGAAAATCGGTGATTATCCCGAGATGAACAACGAAGTTCAAGGATTAACTTAGTTCTGGGTTAGTTTCACATGTATAGCTGGGAACATTAAATTGGAATCGAAGCTGCAGAATGTGCTCTGTTCTTGGGTTTTATTCTGTTCAATTTAAGGCATTCTGGCTTTTGATAAGACATTGAAGAACTCTGTGTATCGCCGATTCAGCACTGATTCACTTTAATCATTTTTAAAATAGTCACTTTCTTTGCTTGTCCCTCAGCAAAATGGAAGATTTCTGAGCAGATTCCTTATGTGATGAAAAAAGCTGCCTTACTTTAAAAAGAGAGAGGATAAATTCTCCTATGACTGTATTTTATTCCCCTGTAAAAAAGAGACAAGAACCGCCTTGACAAAGATGAATGCAGTTGTGGTCCCTTGTGGAAAGGCTGATGTACCTGGATGTTGATGACAGAGTAAGGTTGTTTCCTCTCATTTGTCACGTGAGAATATGACAATTCCGCTTGAAATCACTGGTTTTTAGTTTGAGGATGTCCTTAATAGTATACCAGCAGGGCTATTTCAGTTTATAGGTCATGATCATGCATTTGTCTCTATCAAATGATTAAAGAATGTGCAGCAAAAGACAGATTCTCCCATTTTATAAATAAATGACTGAGCAGATGAGTTATATATGGGCGCATATGTAACTGTGCCTGTTTAAAAATAAGACAGATATATGGGACTATTTTTTAATGCTTATTATTGCAAAAGAAAAATACTGATTATGTTGTGGTATACGCTCGGGCACGGAGTGGGGAAGCAGCACATGAGCCGGGAAATCAGGTGAACGAGGACTTTAATTAGGAAACAACGAGGAACACGATAAACCACCAAAGGACAGACGTTACAACATTAATGACCGGACTGGGGAAACATAATTAAACGCAGACTTAAATACACTGGACTAATGACAGCAACAAGACACAGCTGATCACATGGGGATTCCACACGAGGTAACGAGGGGGCGTGGCACATAGGAGGATCGGACGAGCAGGGCATGACAGATTAGCAAGCATGGTCACAAAGATTTAAAAATATATAAGGACACAGTAGCAATCCATTTCACCAATAAAGAACTCCAGACATACAAAAATTGTTTATTTCAAATTCTAAATTATTAAAAACATGACTAGAGATGCATTAGAAATAGTCAAATATTTATATGTAAGTTTCACACCCCTTTTACTGTATTAAATTTGCATATTCTTGTCGACATGATATTACGTTATTATGTTACACAGACTAAACCGGCTTGTTTTTAAACCATGGGATATTTTGGATGGGGGGGGAGGGGGTGTATATATAGTACTGATGCTAGCTCGGTAGTTCCCAATCCAGTTCCTGGGGCCCCCTAGAATCACTCTTCATTAAGTTTTCAACCTGCCACATTCATTAGCAGCCCATTAAGGACCATAATAGCCTGATTAAGGTAGAGATGGAATTAAATCATTCCGGGG